GAAATTTCCCCTTTTTGCACTTATGAGATTTCAATTTAACTGACCTCATTTTTCTTCATCATTTCTGAAAATGGCTTACCCATCTGACCCTCGTTTTAATTTGAATGTTGTGGAAGATGCATAGATGTCTCCTCAAGATAATATATGGCACTCATCCTTCTTATCCTCTAATGGTCCTCTTGCGGTTGGACACTCTATGATGAAGAATGACATAACCGTTATGGTGGTAGCTAGGAGTCTTCTCACTCCCAAGGATAAAATGATACTTTCAAAATGGTCTGATGAATTAGCTGTTTAAGACTCTCTAGCTTTCAACGTTCAGTGTGCAGGCTCTGTATCTAATATGGGCCAACGTCTACTTGCTCGAACACACCAAGTGGAATCATTAATGGCTGAGGTGGCAAGCCTTAGACAAGAGATTATAGGGCTCAAGCACAAGAACAAAGAGCTATACATGCTTGCAAATAATTACTCGACAAACAAGAAAAGAAAGCTTGACCAGCTGCAGGAATCCGAAAGTTAGACTCAAAGTGACTATCAGAGGTTTGTGGCTTTATTCCAAAGGCACCAATTGCCTTTGTCGTCTGGAGTTTTACCAATACTGAGGCTATAAATAATCAACCTCTGGTGCCTTTTCTTTCTGGAGTTTCGCCAAGTACTGAGGCTTCACATGATCAACCTTTGTGAAGACTCCCCCATGTTTTGTTTGTTTTTGCAGTTGTACCTCACCTGCATGTATGCATACAAATTCCCTCTCTTATGCCTAAAAACTTTTAGTTTAGCTTGTTAGATATAGAGAACATGGAAACTTCTGGTTCCATAATCAATAAATCAATGAGGAAACAATGAAATATCATAGATTGTTCATAATATCATATAAATATATGTCCACACAAAATGTTAGAACTTCAGGTTATTAACATTATACACATGTTCTTAAAATTTATTCTCGATAGCGATATCATTAGATCCTTTTAAAAGGATAAGAATAGTGTTGACATATTGTTCGATCTGCAACTCGAGACAATGTTTCTTTTAACACTTAAATATTTATACTTTTCAGGAGTCTCAATCTAATATCAACTCTTGCAGGAGATTTAGTATGTTGCAACAATATCATAATGATAGTACTCACTAAGGCAATTTATACCATCCATTGGTATTAAGTACATAATTTGTGCTTTACCCTTCCGAGGCTTACTTTAAGCAACTTGAATCCTTCATGGATTTTCTACACTTCATGACACATTACCCTTTTGGAACATATACAGAGCAATTTGTTCCCATGTGCACTTGAGGGAATTACTTGTGGAGATATGCTTTGGGCATATATATAATTCTCCACTGAAATAAACAAGTTTCACAATGAGAAATCATGTTTCCAGGAGTGTATTACAATTTCAGATTTCAATTGGAAACCTTGTGTAACAACCCATCCCAAAATTTCAATATTTTTATAATTTTAAAAGTGTGAATTTATGAAAATACCATTTAAGGTGAAATCGTAGACTTTTGTTGACCCTCATATTGTGAGATGTGTAATCCATTCTATTAGCGTATCCTTGTAGGACTCGTCATTACGAACATGTGGGTACAAGTGGAATCGATTTCAAAACTATGATGGAGACTATGAATCTACGAATCCGAAAGATACCTTTGTAAAATTACTATTTTAGATATTTTAATATTATATATTATTTTATTACTTATTTTTTATTATATATTATTTTATAATATTTTTTGGTGGGATTTTGTGGACCGTGGGATCCATTCCCCACTAAAAAAACACTCCTTTGTCACTGTACACATCGGTGCACAAATTTTCCGACCACCACCATCCAAATCAAGAGCACCACAAGCTTCGTCTCGTCCTCACGAACCCAAAACACCCAACCTAACCTCGAACTTCTTTCCGGACTGTTGGGATCGAAACAAAATCGGACCGTAAATTTTTAGGCCAAACTACAGCTAGTTAGAAGTCGAGAAGGGTACCATTCTCTCATCTCCTTGAGAGGTATGATTTTTGTTTTTGATTCACCCAATTTCGTTAAGTATAGAATAAGTTATAACCATTTGAATTTTACCCAGTTTCCGGCGACCTCCGTGCCTTTGCAGGCATTTTGCGGCTACCTCCGTCCACTTTTTGATGTCCAATCAAGTATAATCTTATTCTGCACTTCCCTATCTTCGTTTTGATATAGTATAAGTCAAATTTGGTTGAGAAATGAGAGAGATATGGTCATTTGAAAACTTCCCATAAAATCGGGCGAAATTTCCAGATTTCCAACGACTTCCTTACATCGACTTTTACAAAATTTTCTCAAGAACCTTCCTAGACTAATTTAGACGTCTGACTCCATTTTTGACATCCGTTTAGTGAAATTCCAAAGTTTTAATTCAGTTGACCAGCTCAGCGTCTCGGTTGACTTTTTGGGTCAACCGTTGTCTTTTTACAAAATCTTTCCGTTGACTTTTTCGGTAGCTAGGCATGGTTGCCGCCCATGCATCATGATGGTTTTAGTGTGAGCGACGCCCAGGCCTGGAGTCTTAGCTCCAGGATGGGTTCTTGGCTCGAGGGCCCAACAACAAGGATTGGTTTTGATGAAACCCTAAATGAATTTTTTTTTGTTTTTTTGTTTTAATTCCATATTAATTCAATGCATATTTAAACAAATAATTCAATGCATGGACATATATTTGATGCAATTCATGGCAATATCAAATTCACATAATTCAACAATTATGAATATAATGCATACACAATTTATGTAGAATCTAAAATTTGAAAAACGTAAAGTTGGGTCATTCATTATGGTGAATGTTCATGGTATCAGGATTGCAAAAATATCGAGATAAAAACCGTTGATTTGGAAGAACTTGATTGCGTGATGATATGTATGAACTAGTTTGATTGCATGATGATTGCGTGACTAAGGGAAGGGGGCCAGCGGCATGGAGAGATTGTAGAGAGAGATGTGTTTGTAGAATCGTGGGGGAATATGTGTGTTATTCCCTCATACGTTGTGCCTTTATTTATAATAATAAGAGGGAGAAGAATTCCTTCATCCCCAAGGAATACAACTCCATGTAAGAAAGAATAACTAGAATCAAACCTAATATAAGATTTACACAATCACACTTAAACTAGGAAAGTTTACAACACTTTTTTATTTATTTTCACTTTTTTTAAAGAAAGAAAGTAATTATTAATTAGTTATCACTCAGTACTATGGTTTAACGGTACAAATTTGTTGCAGATAATTTGTGTTGAGAATTACAAATTTGTGTTGAGGTTCATAATCTCACTCTAACAAAAAGAAATTAGTTCCAACATAATTATACAAATACATACAACAGTATACATGATAAAACAAAGAGGGAGTACAACCCGTTTCACAAGGCTACCTCCTAAGCTCTCCTTATTCTTTCTGCAACCTGCAACCAACAACCAAACTCCATCTCCGTACTCTCTTACTGGGAGCTCTCTTTTTTTTTTTTTTTTTTTTTTTCTCTTGGATCCTCCTCTTTCATTTTTTTTTTCTTCAATTCCACCCACTTGAAGTCTGCTTTTTCTTCCTTCCAGCAGCTGCTCTTTGATTTCTTTTCATTATTTTATTCCTTTTTAGCTGGCCACTTTCCCCATAATTCGGTCTCATTGTCGAGAGCTCACTCTCTAATTTCACTTGAAATCACTGTATTTTATTCCTTTCATCCTTTTCAGCCCACCTATTCCTTCGAATTCCATTTCTTTTATTCCTTTATTTCCATCATGCTAGATTCCCTACCATAGAAATATTAATTCTTGCAACTTTCGGCTACTGGAGTCCAACTGGAGTGTAGGTTCATTCTTAAACCGAACGGAACACATTTTAATGGGCATTTGAGAGGAGCATTTGTTCTTCCGTCTGCATATTTTTCCCCCAAAATCAATGTCGTGTGAGAGGTAGTCATGTCAATGCAATTCCAAGCTCCTTTAAATCATCATATGTAAATCAATGAGCTATTCATAGGAAAAACATTATTCACTCATATTTGTAGATTAATGTGTCTCGCTCAAGTAATCTCATTATACATACCGTCATATGCTTGCTTGTCCACCAAAATTGATATCAATAATGTTAGAACCAAATCCGTGCATTTCCATAAACGGCGGTTGAGCACAAACTCGAGCAACCTGCAAAACTGCATACAACCGTGAGCAAACTTTAGACTGGAGGTGTGTACCGGCCAAAGACTCTCCGACGATCAAGTTAGTGGATGATATGAGACTCAAGTAGTAGGCTAGAGAATTAAAGCGTTTAGATTGCGTTACCCTAGATGAACCCTAAGATGGTGTATTTATATTGTGGGAGAGATTTTTTAGAATAGAATCCTCGTTCTAAGCTGAGAGAATCCTAGAGGATATCTAGTAAGTAGATATTGCTTCTTTTCAGGAGTTGTGATTATTTGCGGGACATGCCTCTTCCTAGATTGTAGGAACTCCAAGACTTATAAGATTTGATTGTATCCAATTCCGGATCAGATTGCTTGTCTCACGAAACAAGCATGGTCATCCAACAGAGTCGCTTGGACTCCGTCTAGTGCCCTGGAGTAGAGTGATGGTGGCACCCTACTCCGTTTGATACAGCTCCGTTCGGAGTTGATGAGTCCATGACTAGACTTCTAAGGTAACAGCATTCTGATTAGCCTTACTCCAGCTCTAGAAAATCATGGTCCCACAAAAACAATTAACAACTCAGATCAAGGGTCTTCAACAAGGTTATAATCTGGTTGAGGATTAAATGGCTAAACAGAAAAAGTTATGGAAAACAAAGTCCAAGGAAAACGTAGAGCATAGAAAATTTCTTCACAATAGAGAGATCCAACTGCATTGTAGAAACTTCGAAGCACTTAGACATAAGAGCATCACTTTTTTTCGGTTTTACAACGCTTCGAACCCTCCTGACCTTCTAGTTCAAAAAAGTTGACCAACAGTACATGAAGTATAGAATGGTAGGCAATGGAAAAAGGAAAATTATCATAACTATAACCAAATAGAATAACAACCCTTACAAGGTTCACACTGATATTCAATCATAACATACATATGAAACTCGGAAATCAAAGCATATTTGTAAAAATGCATGCGTAAGTGCAAAAGATGGAAATCGATCAAATCAAGCGTAGCAGTTCTTGAGCTGACTCCCTTGAATGGAATAAGTTGTCGATGTAGCGTATCAGAGGAGCTAATGCAGTAACTGTCCTTTGCATCAAAACAAAAGCCGATGCCTCTGATAAAATATAATACCAAACAAACTGTGTAACCAATCAAGTCCAACCCTAAAATACCCATGTACGTATAGCATTCATAGAAAATTCATGCTAATTATACATGCTCAATATCTGAACGTAAGATTTTTTTTTCTTTTCTTCTTCTCTATATTGGATACGAAAAAAAGAACCTGCAACCGGCCACGGTAGCTACCGCTACCATGAGCAGTCAAACCGATCAATCCCAAATCTCTAGCCTAATGTCACTAGATATTAGCTAGTCTGCGAGAAGCCTGGTTTGGAAGCAGATAATATGACAATGATGAGTTACATACTAGAAATGTCTTACCATCTAATTTTAGCCTTTTCAAGAACAGTGACTTTGTAGGAAGGGTGTACAGTGCACCCGCAACAGCCTTTCTCATAGCCCATCCGTGGTAGGCGTAAAAAACTTGTTTATATGCTGTGTTAACCGCATCCATGATTGAATTTCCGCTGCCCAAGTAAAAAAATTAAAAAGAAAAAGAAATTCAAGTTATAAGTAACTGTGAATCTGTGATAGTAGAATAGCAGCTAGCTGCAAAATTATAGAGACATACAAAAATTAGAAAATTAGAGATAGCAGTCATTGATTTAGGGTTTGTTCTTTTATGAATAATTAATTCAAAGATTAGTCACTAAATAATTATGTGCCTTCAGTAGAATAATTAATCATGGTATAATGGATATCACGAGTTTAGAACGAGGAGTCTATGAACTCATTTGGAAGTGCTTTTAAAATGACTGAACATGTGTTTGATGAGAGTACTTTTCAAACCAATTCTTAGTAAAAATGTAAGTGAATCCTGAAAAAACACTTAAAGTGCTTCATGCAAAAATCACATAATTGATACTTCTTGTAAGAAACACTTTAATTAAGTGCTCTTAAAACCCAAAAACATTTTTCTTAGAAGCATTTGCAGTCATTTTAAAAGCACTTAATGAATATTAAATATTAAAAAAATTCATGATGAATGGAAATATAAATTAAGTGGATATGAGAAAATAGAACATATGAGTGGATGTAGCTGCACACACTTAATATGATATTGCATTTGCAAATGAAAATGATTTTAGACATGTTAATGAAACAGTGAATTCAATGAAGATCGAGGCTAGGTTTGAGATAAGTAAAACCTTGAGGCCAGAGTTTGCTCGAATATTATCTTAAGCATCTCAAGTGAACGCTTCACTCTGACGAGGGATCTCGAAGCACTACTTTGGTCCTTCATGGTATTCTGTTGTATTTCACGGTCAAGCAAATCTTCTAGGGTATTAACTAACTTTCCTGCCTTTTCAATCCCATTAACCTAGCAACCACCACATGAATCAAAATTTGATTAAAAAAACAAAAAAAACAAAGAAACACTCACATCAAAGGGAATTATATATGAACAAAATCAAAAGGCAAATATTAATAATTAAGATCATCTTTGAAATATGTAAAATGTCTTTATTGTGTATTATATAACTTAAAAATATATTTGAAATCCAGTGCACCAAAATTTCAATATCGAAATTTATCACATTCTAACCCGAGCTCCCACCACATCCCAGGTCCGTTCTATCACCATAGCACGATATTGTCCGTTTTGGGTCCCAACTACGCCCTCACGATTTTGTTTTTGGGAACTTACATGAGAACTTCCCAGTGGGTCACCCATCATAGAAATACTCTCACGCGCTATTCGCTTAACTTCAGAGTTCCCATGCAACCCAAAGTCAGTAAGCTCCCAAAAAACCTCGTGTTAGGTAAGATGAGAATATATATATATGAATCACTCCTCTGAACGATGTGGGATGTCACAAAATTACTCACCCTCACCAGAAGATGTGAAAAAATAAAGTAATATATTTTCATTTTTACATCTCATGCATCACCGTACATAAGAATAAGAACAATACTTGGATATTGATCAGTCAATCCCCAATTTCACTGACTATCTACGTGGCCCAATAATTTTAAAACATCTGTCAATCCGAGGACTTTGCCATCTCTGTAACCAAACACAAATCGATGCTTTAAACCCGTGACCAAACAATAGTCTTCCTCCTCTCCAACAAGTCTGCGTAGATCTTCATAGCCGGTCACGGCGACCTCGTCGGCTCCACCATCATCTTCCAGAGACAAGCCATAGACTTCATTTTCACCAATCTTGTCCTCCACAGCCACGCCGAGCTCGATCTCACTCGCCAAGATAAAGTGCCGCCGACAAACCCACATAGCTGCAGATTTCGTAGCCGTCAATCGCACTGTAGCGGTTGAATCAACGGTTGAAAGAGGGACTGGGGCGGTGATGGGATCAGTTGAGGAGAGAAGATGAAGGAGAGAAGGCGGGCTGAAGAAGAAACCATAGCGATGGCTTGGAAGATTTGCAGATATCGAAGAGGAAGAGTTCTGTTTGGTATTGGGTTTAAAGAGTTGGTTCGCGTTTGGTTACAAAGGTAGCAGAGTGTTGGGATTAACAAATTTCTTAAAATCATTGGGCCACATAGATGGTCAGTTATATTGGGTTACTGACTGTTCAGTACCCAAACCCAAGTATTCTCCTGAGAATAATAAGAAATGTTTAGGAATTTATGTAATTGAGTTTTTATTTAGTATTTTTGCCTTCCTTTTATTATTTTAACGCAATGAATAAATATTTCATCACATTAAATTTAAAAAAAAAAATCAATAACAAAAAAAGTTAGATGTATTTCATTTTCATCATGAAATTTATATTCTCCTACTAGAGCAAAACATGTCTCCAGAGTTATAAAATGTTCATTTATATTCTCAAATTTACATCCTTGCACAGGAAGTTGCTCTACGAAACTGAATTAGCTGAAACCATTAAATCAGCATGTAGTTCAATATCTTAGCGTATATATAGTGTTGAGTTTCCACTCATTTCAAGTTCGAAACTCTCTCTCCTAAATAATTGTAATAGTTTAAAACCCTCTCCCTCCCATAAATAATAATAATAATATTTTTATATAAAAAATCCATTAAATCAAAAGGAAATATGAGCAAATCAATTATAAAGTTGAGGAACACTGAATAAACAATAAGGACGTACATAAAATAAAATTTGGCTCCTTTTTATTGTCTGTATATTATCCTCTAGTTTTATTATTTATTTAAAAAAGAGTAACTGATTTAATCGTGTGTATATTTCCCATGAGTCAAACGCACCAAAGAAATCAAAGCACTCATCAATCACAATCCACCAAACCCTAAAGAACACCCAAGTTTTATATCAAACTTTTGAAATTTGATTCAAATGTAGAAGACAATGACAAGGTTGCAACCCAAATCTCCCCATCACCAAAAAGCATCAAACTCTCAAGTCTAAGAGATGAATAATACCTTAGCAGAGTACTCTATGTCGGCGAACTTCATAGCGACGCCTAAGTGTCGAATGAGAGGAGAAACGAGACGACAGGCTTGGGTGAACTTGCCAATTTCCATGGTGATCGGCGACCGAGAGTTCAGCTGAGCGGCCAGTTGTTCGAACTCATCTGCCAGCCTTGGCAGAATTCTCTCATCTTTCCTTTTCACTACCCTTGCCATTCTATAGCTTCTTTTCACCAACTATCCACTCCTCTCTCAAACACTTTCATTTTATAGGAAATTTTGGAAAACTAACTAAAATTTGGACCCCAAATAAAATCATAGCCACCACTTTAAAATTTTAAATTTATGATAATTATAATCAAAAGTTGATACGAAAATATTAATATACCCTACGTTGCTTTGATCTGATGCTAAAATATCAATATGTTGCTCGAAAAGGAATAAATTTTAGGAATATATGCTGCTCATATTCTCTTCTTAAAAGAAATTCCTCGTGTCCTTATTTGCAGTGGCAATCCAAAAAGGAGCCTGGTGCAATTGTTTGCAGGGTTTCTCCATCCTCAGTTAAAATCAAATTAACTTGCAGAAAAGAGAAGTACCTTCTTTATCCGGGTTTTGATTTCGGATTTCCGGGATTTGTTGTAAATCCTCCTCTTTTCGGCCTGCCGAGCTCTCTTCACAGCAGAGTCGGGCTTCTTCGTTGCGACCTCACAAACAACGGAATGTCGAACCGGCCTCTGAAGTGGGCTCGCAGCCACATACCTTGAAAATAGTCAAGAACCTGCACCAACAATTAAAAACAGACGAACACAACATGATTGAAGAACACAGATCGGGATTAGAAACGATCTAATTTTGGGAAAACCGTATAGAAGTTGCCTGATGCACTGAGGAATCGTTTTTGACCTGCTTCGACACGGCCTTCGCCGGAATCGTAGCAAAAAATTCGGAAAGCGGACGAACGTAACAGGAATGTACTGCTGAGAAAAGGGAGGGATGGGGGGACTTGATGGAGGGAAAGAAAAGGGGATGGAAACGGACGGAATAGTAGTCGAAGCAATCCACGATGATTGACGCGTGGGCGCCCTTCCACTGTGCAAAGCAGTGACAATTTCGTAAATAAATTAAAATTTCCAATCTGAACGGCAGCGAAGAGGCTGTGGCAATTTTGTAAATAACTAAAAAATCCACCCAAGTCACTGTTCTTTTAGCACAGGCAACGAAGGAGTTCTTGATCTGACATTTAACAAGTATGTAGGTAACCATTTTTCTGTAGAAAAACTAATAAAAAAAAGTTTGAAAATTTTGAGTTTTAACGATAATGACAAAATAAAGGATAAAATGAATAATATTAGGTTTGTCTTTTTAGTGTAAAAATATGATTTTTCGTTAAAGTGTACAGTACCGCAGTTTTTTCGTTAAAACTTCATTTTTCCATTGGAGTAAAGGTGTTGGTGCACAGTCCTACTTGGTTCAGTAGTTTTGTAAGAAGTTTTGTTTTCCTAGTGGTGTGGTGGCCTCCCATATCGGGCATGGAAAGTGATTAAGATGGGATGGTATATCTCTTGTTTGCAATGTACACTCTGAGCTAATTAAGATGCAATTGGCTTCTTCAGCTTCTGCTGTTGATACTGTGGTCCGTGCTGCAGCACATTACTCAGGGACCATCTTATTATTTTTAGAGACTTTTAACGAAAAGTCTGCGGCACTGTTCATTTTAACGAAAAACCACATTTTTACACTAAAAAGTCAATTCTGGTATTATTCACTTTACTCGTTATTTTGTCCTTATTGTTAAAATTTAAAGTTTTCAAGATTTTTTCATTAGTTTTCTTTTATTTTTAATAGGACTTAGTCATTGTGTATCACAGAATGTGATGATTTGATGCATTCTATCTAGTTTATATAGTTTTTAGCGCAACATTTCTGCCAATGTGGTTGCAACAATTGAGAATGGCAATCTCACTTTATGCTGAACCTTGGTCTTTTCTGTCATCTACCCTTGCGGCCACTCTGAAAATAGTTTCTGATAGAAGTTCTACACTCAGGCGTACTTAATTAGCTATTTTTCTGAACTTTGCTCCCATCATAATTTTTTTAACAGCTTGGGTGGTGCAGGTTGCTGAGGGCATTGCTTCCTTGGTTGACAGATGGCAGGGGGTTGGTTTTACTCACGGTGTGTTGAACCCTGACAATATGAGCATTATGGGTCTTACAATTGATTACGGTCCTTCCGGATATCTGGATGCATTTGCTCCAAGTTACACGCCGAATACCACGGATCTTCCTGGGAGGAGATATTGTTTTACAAATCAGCCTGATATTGGCTTGTGGAATATTGCACAATTCACCAGAACTCTTGTAGCTGCCAAGTTGATAGATGATAAGGAGGCGAATTATGCAATGGAAAGGTAATTTTTCATTCCTACACCTTCATCGTAATTAAATGTATGTTGAAGTGGGAATTAATTAAAATTTTGTTTTCGGGGGATCTTTTACAGATATGGAACCAAATTCATGGATGACTATCAAGCTATGACCAAAAAACTTGGTCTCCCCAAGTACATTAAACAGCTGATCAGTAAACTTCTGAATAACATGGCTATTGACAAAGTGGATTACACGAACTTTTTTTGGTTTCTATCCAATATCAAAGCTGATCCTAACATTCCAGAAGAGGAGTTGTTGAACCCACTAAAGGCTGTTCTATTAGACAATGGGCAGGAGCAAAAGGAGGCATGGATCAGCTGGGTGAATATCTACATAGAGGAGGTACGATGAACGCTGGTTTTCTTATGATTTCTATCTCGGAAAGGTATATTGGTTTGATACCGACGCTGTATTCATCATAGACGTTATTTCGCTCAGAATATTTATTAAACTCGTCCAGTGGCTAGAGTCTCGTCAAAAGCGAACGTGTCATTTGATTTTCTCACACATTATGGTTGCTAATTGTGCAGCTCAGATGAGGAGAGGAAGGCATCAATGAATGCGGTGAACCCTAATTATGTTCTCAGAAACTACTTGTGCCAGAGTGCCATCGATGCAGCTGAACAAGGTGATTTTGAGGAGGTTTGGAGGGTGCTTGAAGTAATGGAACGACCATATGATGAGCAACCAGGAAAGGAGAAATACGCTCGCTTACCCCCTGCCTGGGCTTATAGGCCTGGAGTTTGCATGCTGTCTTGCTCTTCATGAGCTTGGTTATCTGATTACAATGTTATAGTTATATATAGGGCGCAAAGAGATTTTCGTTTTGTTATTCCTCAACAGTTTTATCGTTCGTCATGTAATAGTAAGTAGTCGTATATAATAGTCAAATTCGGGTTTTCTCCTTCTCTTTCATTTACATCGGGCGATGAAATAAAGTGGCAACGTTGTATGATTCACGTTTCTATGCAACATTTACAGATTAAAGAAATGCAAGAAAAACCAGCTCAAACGGAACATGTTGTTGGGTCTTAAAAAGACTTCACTACTTGGGAGATATTTATCTCACAAAGAAGAATGTAACGCAACGAAATTGATAGGCAAGAGAAAGAAAGAACACTCGAAGTATTACACAAAATTTTATTTTAACTCTTGCAACAAACTAATACAAGAGGAAACACTCAAACACTTTCACACTTCTTAACTCTTCCTCACTTCTTGCTCTCTTAGTTCTTACATCACAACACACACATACATATATTTATAGGCATACTTTGCCAACTTACTATTGCCCACCGCCTTTGGACTTTGCATTTCAACAACACAAATTTACAATCAGCTAGACCTTTCTAGCATGCACACCGACTTATGCTTTGCCTAATGTCCTCACAATTTTACAACTAGCTAGAACTTTCTAGTTAGTTACCATCGGCTTAAATGGTAGAATTCTCTAGCATGTGCATGAATCTTTATTTGTGCATGGGCTGGATCAATTGTCTTGGGCCAAGACAAGATCATTCAACATCCCCCCTTAATCTTGTCTTGTGACGCCAATTGAGGTCCTCAATCTGACAAAGTTTTCTTATTTGAGTGGCTTGGTGAATATGTCGGCTAGTTGGTCTTGAGACTTCACATATTCCACTTGCACTTCATTTCTTGCAATGCACTCTCTAAATGTAGTAATAACGGGTATCTACGTGCTTGCTCCTATCATGGAACACCGGATTCTTTGCTAAAGCTATTGTAGACTTGTTGTCAACATAAATCTGTGTTGGTTCTTCTTTCAGCATGCTTAATTCTTTCAGCAATTTCTTAACCAAATTGCATGACAGACGCATGCTGTAGTGGCTACGTATTTAGCTTCACAGGTAGATAATGTGACAATCGATTGCATCTTCGACATCCATGTGAATGCAGTGTCTCCCATGAAGAAAACAAATCCAAAAGTGCTTTTTCTATCGTCGGAATCTCCTGCCAAATCACTATCGCTATATCCAACAAGTTTGTAGTTACTAGAACTTGAATAGAACAAGCCAAAGTTAATAGTACCTTTAAGGTATCGAAGAATTCTTTTGGCGGTCTTCAAATGTGTAGTTGTGGGATTATCCATGTAGCGACTGACTAATTCGACGGCATAGAGAATGTCTGGTCTTGTGCAAGTCAAGTAGCACAAGCTTCCAACTAGACTCTTGAAAAATGTTGGATCTACGCTTTTTCCTTTATCATGCTTGTTTAGTTTGACTCTGCACTCCACTGGCGTGCTTATGGGCTTGCAGTCGCCCATTTTGAACTTCTTCAATATGTCCTTCATGTAGCTTTCTTGGGAGATGAAAATGCCTTCTTCGTTCTGCTTGACTTCAATGCCTAGGTAGTATGTCATCCGCCCGATGTTGGTCATCTCGAATTCTTTGGTCATCGCTCTCTTGAACTCTTCCAACATGCTTGGATTACTTCCGGTGAAGATTAGATCATCCACATATAGGCACACAATCAAAATATCTCCATCTTTGACTTTGACATAGAGAGCATGTTCATGAAGGCACTTGGTAAAGTTGTTTTCTTGGAAGTACTTGTCAATGTAACTATTTCATGCTCGTGGTGCTTGTTTTAACCTACAGAGGGCTTTCTTCAGCTTCAGAACTTTGTCTTCATGCCCATTGATTTCATAGCCTGATGGTTGCTGAATGTAGACTTCTTCTTCAAGACTCCATTTAGGAAAGCAGACTTCACATCCATTTGTTGAATCTTCCATTTATTTTGAGCTGCCAAAGACATTAATAATCATATCGTTTCCAAATAAGCAACGAGTGCAAATACCTCGTCATAGTTGATTCCAGCTCTTTAACTATAACCATTCGCCACTAGTCTCGCCTTGTATCTTTTGACCTCTCCGTTGGCATTTTACTTTGTCTTGTACACCCACTTGACTCTGATGGCTTTGTGTCCTTTCAGAAGAATGGCAAGTTCCCATGTGTCATTTTTTTGGATTGCTTCGATTTCTTCATCCATTGTTTTCCTCCACTTAGTATCTTGCATTGCTTATTGGAAGTCGACTGGTTCACAATCAGCAAAAAGACAGACAAGTGTAGGCTTATCAAGTCTTTCAACTACGTCATAGAGGTCTCGTATACTTCTTGTGCATGGTACTTCTATTTCATTTAGACTCTCACTTGACAATGCTGATGTTGGTGAATTGCCATAATTGGTTGATGTTGGTGAAGCAGGTGGAGTAGTGGATTCTTGTTGAACGTTTCTTACTTACTCTATCATCCCTTATTCATTCTCTTCTGCAAACTGAGGAAAGAAGCTGAGATCACTTGCATGAGAACCAAAATCTCATTCTCCTTCTTCATCAAACGTCATGTCTCGACTGATCATGGTCTTCCCATTGTTCAGATTATATAGCTTATAGCCTTTTGAATTTGTGTCATAGCTAATGAAGATGAACTTTTCACTTTTGTCGTCGAGTTTGGTTATCCTCTTGTTTGGTACATGTACATAGGCTATGCTTCCAAAAACTCTTAGATGAGAAATACCTAGTTTTCTTCCACTCTATGTTTCTTGCAGAGTCTTTCCCCACACACTTCTTGTTGGAGATTGATTTGATAGATAGACTGCAAATGCTACTGCTTCTGCCCACAACTCCTTAGGCAACCTCTTGCTTTTGGGCATACTTCGAGCCATGTCGAGGATAGTTCGATTTTTTCTTTCCTCCACACCATTTTGTTGAGGAGATCTTGGAACTGTCAAAGGTCGACGAATTCTATTAGCTTCACAGAATTCTTGAAATTCCTTCGAAGTGAATTCTCTTCCTCGATCAGATCTCATGGCCTTGATCTTACAACCACTCTCTTTTTCTATAGCAGCTTTGAACTTCTTGAATGCTCCATATGCTTCTGATTTCTACTTTAAGAAATATACCCAAGTTTTCCTTGAAAAATCATCAATGAAGAGAAGGAAATAATTATTTTTACCGAAAGAGCTTGGTTTTATTGGACCGCACACGTCGGTGTGAATAAGCTTGAATGGCTTCTGGGCTTATGTGGTCGACTTCTTTGGAAAGCTTTTCCTGAACTGTTTCCAAGTAAACATCCTTCGCAAACTTGATCAGGGTGGCTGACGCACAGTAAGCCTCTCACCATCTCTTTCTTAGATAATAACTCCAAGCCCCAAAGTTAAGATGCCCAAAACGAAGATGCCAAAGCCAGGATGTGTCTTTGTAACATGTTTTAAGGCGCTTTGCAACATCATTTTGAATATTCATAGCAAACATCCAATTCTTAGACATTTTCACCTTGGCAATTAATCTTCCTTTGTCATCTCTAAGAAAAAAGCTATAATTTTTCATATGAATATCATAACCTTTTTCTAAGAGTTGGCCCATACTCAAAATGTTGCTTTTCATATTGGGCACGTAATAGATATTTGAAATTAATTGGTGACCGCCATTTTTTAGGGGAATAAGGATGTTACCTTTTTCTTTTATGGGTATTTTGGATTCGTCTCCAAAAGAAACATTGCCACTCACCGATTCATTGAGCTCTACGAACATGTTGCTTCTTCTGCATATGTGGTTGCTGGCACCGGTGTCAAGGTACCATGTATAGTCTTGGTCTCCACCATTGTTCTTGCATGCTAGTAGCACAATGCCATTATCTTCTTTCACATAATTGACCTTCTCATCAGGTCTGTTGCTTGGAGCTCTAAATTCCCAAGCATAATGCCTAAACTTTTGACAATTGTAGCATTGAACTTGAGATTTTTCATACCTCTAGTTTAAGCGCCCTCTTCCACGACCTTTTTGTTGAGCTTTCTCCTCTCCCGTAGTTGCTATGGTTGTTGAAGTTCCAACCACTTCCACACCCATGTCCACATCCGCGACCTCGGCCACGACTTCTTCCCGTATTGGCTTTAAGCTTTCTTCTTTCTTCTTTGGCTGGACATGCATCTTGAGGAGTTGCTCATCATTCCCTTGCCTCTTCTTATGTTTCTCTTCATATGCTAGCAGTGAACCCATTAACTGCTCTATAGTAATTTCTTCCCAAGTTTTTGGTTTCTTCAATAGTCACGACAGTGTACTCGAACTTGGGGTCCAACGAGCGTAGTATCTTCTCCATAATTCTAACATCTTCCAACTTTTCACCGTTTTTTTTTAATTTATTAGAAACGGCTAAGACTCTTGAGAAATTATTGGAGATTGATTCAAACCCTTTCATTTGTAGAGATTCGAACTCACCTCTTAATACTTGAAGACAAACCTTTTGCACTTGTTCGGCTCCTTTGTAAGAGGTTTGAAGCTTCTCTCATGCTTGCTTGGCAGAGGTTACACTCGAGACCTTCTCAAAGCCATTGTCATCTAATGATTGGTAGATAAGGTAGAGAGCCATCATCTCTCTTTCTTGAATCTTTCAAACTCTCCTTCTGGGGTTGAGACAGAGTAGCTTCATCTTCTAGCTCAATGTAGCCTTTCTCCACGACTTTCCAGACATCGTGTGCACCCAAAAGGGCCTTCATTTTGATACTCCAATTATCGAAGTTGTTGTCGAGCACTAGAACTTGGAAGGCTGCCATAGCGTTGCTAGCCATAGGTCTGATACCACTTTGTTGGGTCTTAAAATGACTTCACTACTTGGGAGATGTTTCTCACAAAGAAGAATGTAACGCAGCGAAATTGATAGGCAAAAGAAATAAAGAACACAAAGTATTACACAAAATTTTATTTTAACTCTCACAACAAACTAATACAAGACGAAACACTCAAATACTCT